CGGTGATGGTACAGGTGCCTGCTGAACCGGTGGTAGATTCCGAAGTGCAGCTGTTACCCTAGCTTCTATAGCCCGAGCAACAAAGTCATTGAGGTGAAGAGGAAACTCTGGATCTCTAACCTAACCCGGAGTCTGCTGAACTTCCTCTTACTCATTACGAAACTGACCATTGTCATCCTCAAATCTAGGCAATTGCTGTTCCTCTTCCATTAGCTGACATTGTAGGCCTTCTTGCTGCCTACGTGCCGCTCCCCTCTGCCTCTTATTTCCTTGCATGTTCTGTCCCTTTCTCCTACCGTTAACCATCTGCTAACACGGAAAGATAGACATGAGTACATTCTAAGCGAACCGTAAAAGAATTCAACTAATCCTACACTTAAGCTCTAATCAAGAGAAAATGCTACGTGGAAGACTTAATACGAAACACCCTAGAGACACTTGAACCTGGAGTGCTCCGATACCAACTGTGATACCCCTCGGATTCGAGACACGGGTTGATCAGGCCCAGGCCTAAGCCCGAGGAAATTATCAAACAATTAATATGTAAAACAAACACGGAATACAAGGTGATAAATATATATATATATATATATATATAATGAGCTGAAAGATATCTAAAATATAAAATCCTTTAAAATTAAATACTTAAAATCCCAGATAATAATAATCCAACTCCAAAACCTCCAAGGGTACAACTCGGGAATCCATCATGTGGACCCCTAATAGGAAAACCAAACTGAACTGAAAAACTAAAAGAAAACCATAAAAATGGAGCTCCTACGTTGTCGGAAGAATGAGTGGTCGCCTCTGCTCAGCACGAATAAGCTCAAGCCTAAAACTGACGTACACTTGAAAAATAGGAGTGGGTCAGGCCAATGAACAAGTTCTATCCTACTACAATCCAAACAAAGACTCGATGCGCATATACACTCTAACCAACTCAACAATAACTATATAATCCGTGTCTATATATATATATATATATATATATATATATATCCACACTATGGACTCTCACTAGACTATGATATGGGTCTCAACCTGAGTAGAAGGTAACATGCAAAACGCACCTGAGTGGGCATGACTACCTAAGTCTAACAGGGTACACCTCAACCAGCATAACCAGTTACGCGTCCTATTGCATATACGCTCCCTAACCGTTGACTTTGAGACTCAAGCTCAAGTCACGGTACCATAATAATATATTTAAAATCCATTCACATTCATCCATAAGAAATCCAGTAAGTCGTTCACCTTATTCAACCGCACAGACTTAAGTCATTCAGTTTATTCAACCGCACAAACTTATATATAAGGAGGATTCTATTTTTGTGATCCATACCCTTATTCCAAAGTAGGTAGGACATAGCAATTTGAGCTAATCCAAACCTAGTATGTCACTGTCCCATACCGGTACATACAATCCAATCCATCCAACAGTTGATAGAATACATAATCAATGTACATAGCAACTGAACCATAATAAGCATAAATAGAGACATAGACTTACATGCTTACCTAGTAACTGATAGATCAAAATAATAACACATATCAATTAATTCAATGATGAATACAAATTAAATAGATAAGCATCATGTTCATCCTATAACTCCGTTACAAATTATCTTACTTGAGCATGCAGATAATTTTATTCCTTTCGTTCATAAAACCATGACAAGTCTAATAAAAATCATATTTATTATCATGCTTGTGCATTATTAATAATATCATATTAATAAAATTTCCACTCACAGAGAATAAATAAATTAAGGTTCAGTAATTGAAAATCTCTCTGCACTGGAAGAAAATAATTTCTGTCGAGACTTACCAGTGTTCAAGTTATAAACACCTACTGGTTTATTAAGCATTAATCCACTCTCACAAGTGTTAACTAGACTTAGAACATCTCAAAACACCTAAGTATAGCTTCCTGCAGAATCTAAAAATCCCAAAATCCGAGTTCCGTAGCCAAACAGGTCGCAGAAAACATAAAACTGGAAGCCGGTTGAAAGAGCCTGCTCTTTCTTGCTTGGAGCTAGCTCTCCTAGACTTGGAGCCGGCTCCAAGTCCCCTAGAGCCTGCTCTTTGTTTCCAAAGAACCTGCTCTTTCAAACTTTGAGCCATCTCTTCTCTGTTCTTTATCCCTATCGCGTCCGGCGATTTTCCGACGAACTGTTCTTCATCCCTAGGGTTCCTAAGTGTTTTAATTAGATTCCAATGTGCTCAAGAAATAACTAAATTCCTTACTGACTCAACAACATTAATTATACATCAATTATGCCACAAGGAATTTAAACCGGGATAATTTCCATTCATGAACACCAACTATTTTAACAAATCAACCTTGCAACTAAATTACTTCCAGTGTTTCTCCAACATGTTACAGGTCTACTAAAATTCATTATTCATCAATTTACATAAATTAAAATAAAATCTACACCAGAAAGAATTTAAAACAAAACAATATAAATATATAAACACATCTAGTTTGTAAGCATCTAACCATGGAACCCAGTTCAATTTTAATCCTTATTAAATCCTAGAGTTGTATTAAACGTGCAAAGAACATGAGCCTAGGGGAGAGAGTTAAGACAGAACTTGCCTTTGAGACTTTTGTTCAAAATCTCTACGTCGTCTTCTAAAGTTCCGGCGATTCCGACTACAAAATTCCTCCTCTATTCTCTCTCTCTGCTCTGCCTCCACAGACGTGAATAGGTTTTATTTTTTTTTTTATGTTTAAACCCTAAATAGACGTATCCTACATATTTATAGAGTTATTCCAAACCCTAAATTAATTCAAGCCCCAACTGAATCCTAGTCGGCCCATAACAACTTAATCAAAACCTACGTCGGCTACAACCGTGATTTCTTAAAAAAACCCTAATCTAAATCATTAAATGAAAACAAATAAGTAAATTAAAATAGTGATTCAAAGAAATAAAAATTAATAAAAATTATGACATTTAAACAACTTACCAATTTAAAATTAAGTCAAATACTCAACTAATTCAAATAATTCAAGTAATTCAAATAATTCAAGTAATTCAAATAATTCAATTCAAATAAACAATTAAATAATTAAAAATTTTCAATTAAAACAATAAATTAAATACCAGGACTATCCTTTTGAAATTAGGGGTATTACATAATGTAAAACACTAGAACAAGTCATGCAAGATTCATTTAAAGTATGGTGAGTATGACTAGGGGAGGAAGACACTTGATTCACCGAATTTTGGTTGATCAAACCTTTGGGATAAAGACTTCACTTCTGCGGCTATATCATTGGAATGGTCAACTTGATACAAGTCGACATTCTTCCTTCCACCTAGATTCCTACCATTTTTGGAAGATAAAGATCAATGCATTGAACACTCACTCATGCTCTCATATAGGTGATAAGCGCTGAAAAGTGCGCATTTAAACCCCTTAAGCTTGAATGTTCTAGGACCTTATTCTATCTTATTTTACCGTTTTAGTCTAATTTCATGTTATGTCCCTTTTTAGGCACTTATCCCTAAAATAAGTTAATTCAGCTGATTTAGTACATTTAAAGAAGCAATCTCAAGCTTAGTGGAAGAAAGGAGCAATGTGGAAGCAAAGTGGTGAAGAAGCCTTCTTCGATCGATTGAACCAAGCTCCGATCAATCACACTGTGATCATTCCAACCATGTTATGATGGATCGAGCCTTTTGTCCTCATCTTCAGGAAAATTTCCCTTTCGATCAATCCAACATTTCCTTCGATCGATCGAACATTTTTTATCTTATCCCCATCTACCATTTTTGTCCTTTTCTAAAAAATATCCGAAAAATATCTCAGCCTTGTCATTGTCCAAAAAGGCGCCGCCATAGTTCGATCGATCCAAGCAACCTTGTGATCGATCGAACTGCCTCAAGTGCGTGAAAAATAGAATTCCAACCAACTTAAAGGTGTGGTCGTGGTGCAATCATTTGGAGGTCCTAGTGCACGAGGTTTGACCATTGGGTGTGACATTTGAGCTACCTATATAAGGATTTTGGCCATTTTGAGTAGATATACAATATAGAGGTTGATTAGTTTTGGCAAGAAGCTAGAGATTAGAGAGAGAAATTCACATTTTGGGAAAATTCTTCCACTCATCTAGGGTTTCTACCAAGAACACAAGAGGATGAAGATAATTTCTACCATGGATATAGCCCTTAAGGGTTGGATGACAACATCAATGAGTGGCTAAACCATTCTCTTGGGGCTAGAGATAGCCCTAAGCATGCCTCTTAGACTTTGATATTTGCAACTAACGAGGATTTGTGTTGTAATTGTTATCTTGACATCTTATATATATAAATCTTGTTTCTACAATGATTTGTGTAGCTTAATACTTCCAATTGATCATTTAGTTCTATCCATATGTCTATGTATGTTAGAATGAATGTTCATGTGTTTATTTTTAAATTATTTTTAAATTTTATGACGCATGTCTATGTGTGTTGATATTATGAATCTAGTGATGATCAAGACATAGTGCTTAAATAGATTACTCTTGTGATTTATTTGATGGTTCATACTTATTTCTTGATGGATTGTTCCACCTCCTTAGTTTAATTAGTTTAATTTTCATGTCACTAGCTTAGTTATAGTGTAGTTACCTTGCTTTCTTAGATAGATGGACAATCCATGCTTATTGTTTGATGTTCCATACTTCAATCGAATAGGAAATTTTCCTGAAGATAAGGACAAAAGGCTCAATCCATCATGGCATGGTTGGAACGATCACAGTGTGATCGATCGGAGTTTGGTTTGATCGATCGGAGAATGCTTCTTCACCACTATGCTTCCACTTTGCTCCTTTCTTCCACTAAGCTTGAGATTGCTTCTTTAAATGTTCTAATTCAGTTGAATTGACTTATTTTAGGGATAAGTGCCTAAAAAGAGATATAATATGAAATTAGACTAAAACGAAAAAATAAGATAGAATAAGGTCCTAGAACATTCAAGCTTAAGGGGTTTAAATGCGAACTTTTCAACGCTTATCATTTTATTCCTCGCTATCCTTCTCGAAGGTATCTTCTTATGCCTTATGGTACCTTTAAACCAATAATCCACCCAATCAGAAATTTTTACTGCACGGTCCACTTTACATTTTTTGCAGAGCTTATGAAAGACTAGGAATAAATATTGGCAACTGAAAAAAAGTAATAAAGTTCCATCTTCTCTTACAGTAGATAGTTCAACTGTATCAAGGACAACCTCATCATAAAAATTTCCACCAAAAGGGAGACCAGCCAACACACATAAATCTCGAAGGGAAATGGAAAGTTCTCTAACTGAACAATGGAGGGTATTGGTCGAAGGGCACCAAAACTCAAGGAAAGCTTGGAGCACGGGTCGGTGGCGATCATATGAGAACAATGAGGCAAATATGGCATCAAATAATGTTATCCCCTTTTTAAGGAAATTGTTGTGGCGACCCGGAATGTCATCTGTCCACTCAAAATATCCTTTAGTATATGACAACTCTGCTAAAACTTTCAAAGCATTACTCCACTCTACCTCATTAGCATACACTTTATGTTCCAAAAGTGCAAATTATTCTAGTTTATCGGCCTTTTATGGAGTGCTGAATCCAATATCAATGCCTCTGACATGGATATATTCTCATTAAATCCGAGGTTGGTGAGCTTGCATGAAGACATGTTTGACCATTGGGATAGGAAATATTGAGCATCTGACGATGACCTTGGCAAATACAGAGAGGAATTGCCGATAAATGTTGTACCCACATCTAATGTTGTTCCTTTTTCTTGAGGGTCACCTTCCCTTTCAATGATGGTTAGGGTTCTCTTCTTGAAGCATTTAAAAACGCGCCATGGTTAATGCACTAGAGTTAAGAAGTCGATAGCTGAAAATACAAGAGATGTGACATTGGTTATATATATATATATATATACACATACACACACACAAATAAAAATACAATTATGACTCATCAAAAGAAATAAGTGATAATCTGATGGTCATATAAAAAATTATGATACTTACAAAAACAAATGATGGATATTAAAATCAAATAAACAATGCCCGACAGAGCTGATGGGTATTAAAATATATATATATATTGCCCTTATAAGCTGATAATTACAAAATCAAATGATGGGAATTAAAATCAAAACAACAATGCCCGACAGAGCTGATGGCTATTAAAAAAAATTGCCCTTGATGATTACAAAATCAAATGATGGGTATTAAAATCAAAACAACAATGCCCGACAAAGCTGATGGCTATTAAAAAAAAATGCCCTTCCAAAAAAAAAAAAAAAAGCCCTTGAGAGCTGATGATTACAAAATCAAATGATGAGTGTTAAAATCAAAACAACAATGTCCGACAGAGTTGATGGGTATTTAAAAAAAAAAATGCCCTTGAGAGCTGATGATTACAAAATCAAATGATAGGTATTAAAATCAAAGAAACAATGTCAGACAGAGCTTATGGGTATATATATATATATATATATATATATATATATATATAATAAATAAATAAATAAAATTGTCCACAATAATATATATATGTATATATATATAAATTGGCGTACCTTTGTTGATGCAACCCCAGGATGTCAACTCCAAACCGATCCTATCCAGTCAACTACTTCTCCAGCACCAAAATGGGAACTGTGGTGGACATTAGAAATAAAATCAAAGCGGGTACCATGGCAAGCCTAAAAAAATAATAAAAAAAAGTAATAAAAAAAAAAAAAATGCTTCAAGAACATATATACAATGGCTTACCTATTACTAATTAGTGGGCATTAATGCTATCAACCATTTCTTCAGCACAAAAATGTGAGCAACCACTTCTTCAGCACCAAAATGTGAGCTGTAACATTTAGAGATCAAAAGTCAAAATGCATGACAAACAGTGAAATATATATATATATATGTGTGTGTATATATATAATTGCAAAGATGGCAGTGTGTTACATTTCTACTAGGTGGCCGGGTTTGCTTTAACAGTGGGTTTGCAAAGAAGCTATATATATATATATACATATCATGCAAGTCCTCAAAATGGGTTTGCTTTAACAAATGGGTTTGTAGAGAAGCCATATATATATATATACACACATATCATGCAAGTCCTCAAAATGGGTTTGCAAACAGCTACAGAGAATGAGTTGAAGCAGCTCCAGGAGTTGTTTAGCTAAGCTGCAGATTATAGCTTGAACTTAAAGAAACCAGATTGAATACAAGGATACACGGCACTAATTGGTATCTTTTATTCTGAGTTTAATTGAAGACAGTACCTCGGGACAAAAATATTGGTAGGACGGCGGAATCTTCCTGAAGTTGTTTTTTTTTTTCCCTTGTATTTTATAAACCTATCAAAAAAAAAAAAAAAAAAAAAAATGTTTTCACATCCAGAGTTCTTAATGTCAAATAAGAAAAGGCCAGATTGGTGGTCAGACCCAATTGAGTTTAACCCGTATTGGTAGAACCGGCATCAGAGTTGTCCTATCTAAATAAATAAATAAATAAAAATAAATAAATAAATAAAAAGGAAGGAGAAGAAGAAAAAAAAGGGTCTTAGTTACCTGCGTTAGTCTTGCACTAATTCGGCGGTTAAATTGTGTCAGTTTGATGAAGTGCATTTCACCCAGTTAGACAGGTAGCATATTTGAGAAGTTTGTTTGGGAGCCTCCATGTTTGTCCTGTACCCCAAAAAAAAAAAAAAAAAATTGTTGGAGATGATGACTAGGAGTCACCATCTTGCAACTTGTCGCCCGGCTGCTCATTAGCCGAGTTCTTGAATCGGTTCTCCTACCCGAATCAGCTAAAATCTATCATCGTGGGCGCTCGTGTTCTCATCATGGTTTCTTCGAATGCTTGGAGCGGTCCTCCTCCTCGACGCGAAACCGCACACCTTGCAGCGTTGGTTGTTCGACTTTTGCTTATACTAGGAGAGTCCACAAAGACCTGAATTTATAAGCACGATCTGCAGCTAGGCATTCAAATTCCACGAGTATTTAAAGACTTTTTCAAATTGGGTCTTCTCGTTCTCTTGAGTTAGAGATAAGGAAAAAGAGATAGAGAAGAATCAAACAAGATCTGGACATCTCCTATGTTTTAAAAAAAAATGAGCAGTAAGTCAAAGAATTTCAAAACTTATAAATTCTTGTCATCCCAATTTTGAATGATCTCATCAAAAGGTGAAAAAACTGATGTAACAACTTTTATCTAGAAGAGCGAAGCCTAATAAGCTCGGAGTTTGGAAACTTCTAATCCTATATATATATATATATATATAGTGTTTGGTGCTAAATCAAACTCTAGCCAGGGAAATTACAGGCGTGCTTATGGATAAGGCCAGCTTGTTAATAGTCAACCAATTAAGATAACTGTTAGCTGAAGAGAGATAATGGAGCATTACCTTATAGAGATATCATTCTTTTTGAAGTTCTACAACAAAATTCAACAAATCACAGGTAAGATATGTGAAGCGAGAGTTCCGTAAAAGTCAAATCATAAAGAAACATATGCTTGGTCTTCTTTTTGTGTTGATAAAAAAAATAATAACTTTGAGTTATTTGTTTTATGGTCCATGCATCCATGTGCACTGCCAGTGGAATTAGTAAAGTGTCTCCTTTTTGTGAAAGAAAGGTTTATTTGCTCCTTGGATGGCCTCATCAAATACAAGTGATTCTTTAGTCTAGTCAATACAATGCTTTATAAAATAAAAAAAAATTACATGTAAGAAAAAATCAACGAAACTTCCAACCTCCTCCTCGATGGTTGGCAACCAATATGAATCCGAGACATGAAGTGGGGGCATTTGTAGACATGAAAAATTTTATGATGAAAATAATCATCATCATCATTTAATCCATCAATGGGTCAAAATGATACTTTGATGATTGTCAACAATTCAAAGTGTAATTTGGACCTTTTATCAATTTAGTCCAAATAAAATATTAGTACTAGGTAAACATTAAATTAACCAATAACCCAAATTCATTTCAAAAATGGGTTAAAGGACTCAAACCCACTTCAAAAATGGGTAAAAAAATAATTGTCATTCAAAATAATTATATATAAACTTGAGACTAAAATTGATTATAATTTTAAACAAAAATAATCAAGCCATGTTGATGAGATTTAACAAATATATTTACAAACATCTCTCCATGAAAACACAAATTTATTAAACCATCTGAAAAAATTAGACCTAATAAATTTGGTAACTGTTGGCCGGTTGTTATATTATTGTATGAAAAGTTATCATAAAAAAAAAAATAAAAAAAAAAAAAGAATTTTTACTTATAAATGTATTTATGAAGTCATATTTATTATTGGGTTAAGTCAAAGTCTGATAGTTTCAATAGAACGAGGTTAACCTAAATGCTGACGTGGACGTAGGTTTTACTGTTTATTTTAATTGCTTACCTAAAATACCCTTTTTTACTTTTGAATCAAAATACATTACTGGCCCTTTCTCTCTCCTCTTCTGTAGCTCGTTTTCTCTCTCTACTCTCTCTCATTAGACCAAAACTTATTTTCTTCTCAACAGTCCCCTTTCGCTATGGACTCTCTCAGTCTCTCTCCACAAAGAAACCCAACAACAGAGATCTTCTGTGACAACAGAAGTTTGATACACCATATCACTCTCAATTCCTCCTCAATGGCCCTCATCATCAACCCCATACCCAAACTCTCAATCGTCACCTGATGACACGACCATGGATCACGATCTTGATCCGACCCACAACAAACGACGGTCACAAACGGCCTGAGATAGCAACGATTCCGGTCACGACGCTCCTCGAACCCAGTTCCACGACCACAGCCCGATCTTGATTCGACCCACAGCGAACGGCTGGCGCGACGGTCCGAGCTCTGCGGTGCCGCCTTTGTGGTGGTGGTGACTGGTGAACACTGTTGTGGAACATCGCGAAATCATGGAGGGCCACCGCAGTTTTGAGCTCGCCACGTTGCGATGGTCATCGACCATCTCTCATATTCTCTGTTATATATACATGTACATATGTATTTACCCATATATATATATATACCTCTGTGTGTGCAAATATATGTGTGATGTATATGATGGGTGTGTCTGCAATATGTATGTGATGGAAGGAAAAGATAAGAGGCGGCGGGCTTACTTCCGGCGAGAGTTGCAAGACCCAGTTCGTACCAGGTAGGGCCAAAATGATACTTAATGTCACGCCCCGCACATTCTAACACAAGAACCCTTGTCTTATACTAAAACTTGGTACGTGACTCACATCATTCATCCACCATAATCCATGATTAAATCAATAAGAAAACATTTTTTATTCAAAAATCTATCAATCCAAATGAAATTTATTACATCCCCAACTAATTCAAAATTCCACCAACTAAGTGAATCTTATTACAAAGTGTTCACTAAGAAACAATAATAAAATCATAATGTAGAAATCCGGAAATCTCCTTCTCTCACTGAGCCTCCTTTGCAAGCTAATCCATATGCACCTGAAAGTAATAAAGGGGTGAGCTCACAAGCTTAGCAAGAAATTGCTAAACACTATCATCGTTCAGCAAGCTAATCCTTACTTAAAATCCATATATATATACATATATAAGTGACCGCGAAATATTTACTAAACATCGTCATTCTATAATATTAACTCAACCTGTGAAAATTGTAACCCATCTAGAATTTAAATTACTAAAATTCCCGCTTACCTCACATGAGCCCCTGGCTCCCCTCAATCAGTTGGCGTTTTTAATGCCATTACTTCACATGAGCCCCTGGCTCCACTCCAAATAAATGGTGTAAATTGCGTAGTCCCTGACTACCAAATATACACATGTGGCTGGGTTGTACGTCTACTCACCCAGATGGCCCCTGACCACGTCCACATACTAAGGGCACCTTTAGCCCAATGGCCATAACAAAAGAGTATTTCACTCCCGAAGACAGTCCCTGACTGCGCTCAACAAACTTATCATTGGGTAAGTCCCAGACTACCATTCCAACTAGTTTAATCTCTTTAATTAAACACTAAATATACTTAATCAACTTTTACTCATAATATCATGAATTTATCCAACACCTTAATTAATCATTCACTAATTAATTAATTAATTAATTAATTAATACCAACGCATAGTCCTAGAATAAATTACAAAACTATACTCTAAATTTCAACCTCAATATCATTCAAAATTGTTCTTCCCTTAACTGTACTCATCTTCCTCGATACCCATTCTTAACCTATTATGCCAAAATTAATTCTTTACCATTTGGTACCCAATTGACCAAACATAAACTATATATATATACCTCTGTCGGTAGTCTGCACACACACAAGTGATCCCAAATCCAACCTCTGTAACGAAACTAATCCAAAGACAGAATTCATAAACAAAAAACACTCCTGTGACGCACACAATTAATTTGATCACCTGGTCCTCCAGTGGGTTTGCACCATCATTACCCATATTTCCATCTTTCCCTTTTATCTAACAATCAACAACCTTATTTACGTACAATAAATTTTGGCAAAGACTCCTACTGCCAGCATCATCATTACAAGCAACTATTCAATAACCTATGTAAACATATAAAAATACCTATACCTTTTTCAATACCTACTGACTTATGTAAACATATATACATAAATTTAACAAAAACTTGCACATGTACCCAGAATAGAATGATGAGTCCATCCTTGTAAACAATCTGTCATGTGAATTATATATATATATATATATATATATATATATATATATATATATATATATATTGTATCCAGTCAACCTTCAACTCTAACACCTATACAATGATCAGATTTATTAATCACTATATTATATAATTACCGAGATCATTAATTCATATCATCAAAAAATAATGCTTTATCATTCAAATTCTCGCCTAACATAAATAGCATTAAGTAATCCACCAACAATCCTTATTACCATACTTCATAAATCATACTAGTAACATCACCCCTCTTTACAAGAAATCCATAATAAAGAAACAATCTATTTTTGTATATAAGATCTAGCCTGCAGATGAAATAAATAGCAGCTTTGCAATTTAAGAAAAGTCACTTCCAGATTCAAGACTTATATATACAATTTCTACTACTCTAACCAAAATGAAACATCATGAGTGATATAAAAAAATTCATAGATAATCATCTTACTGTCAATCACAAAATTATATACAAGATATAAGTAAGAATTAACTTGCCTGACAATGGAATCTGCTTAAGCCTCTTCGTTACTCACAGAATAGTATTGCCCGTAAAAAAAAATAATGCCGATACACCAAGTCTAGATATATATCTAGTAGTTGAGTTCTATATGGACTCTTAAAATAAATAAAAAAATAAAAAATAAAAATCAACTAAACTGATAGCCTGATATCTCTCAAATTCCATTATACGATAACCCTCATAATTCGACATAGATATATATTATATGGATAAACATGAATTCAAAAATTAAAATATATATATATATATATATATATATATATATATATATATATACACACAATATATATCTGGTTGTTACATTCTACCCCCCTTAATTGAAATTTCGTCCTCGAAATTTACGTACCTTCATTTATGGTCCAACGACTCCGCCTTAGGATCCTCTTCAGGATCATCCTCTTCACTTTTCATTTCTTTGAGAAGAACTGGGTTTGCATTGGGTCCGTAAAATGGAGGCCAATCTCGTACACTAGATACCTTTCTCGGTTTGTACTTTGGAATAACACCTATTGGAATAGAACTTTTGATAACCATTCCTATCTTTTGAGTTCTCCCTCGCATACAAGCCGATAAATTGATCTTTTGCTCCTGTTTGTTCTCATTAATTTTCTTTCCAGTCATCTTGATTCTAAAGTGCAATCAGATAAAATAAATAAATAAATAAATAAAAAATAAAAGTCCGTCTAACTTTTTCACTCCTAAAAAAAAAAATCAATGGCAACCATCCAATAATAATCAATGAATTTACAAGACTTATAAATCCAAATTTTTTTCATGTCCAAATGTAAAGAACAAACCAAATGTTCAAAGATTAAAAAAAAAAAAATGCTTAGCAACCATTAATAGGTAACCACAAACCTCTACTTTATTCCTATGCCAAAAGCTAAAGAGAGAAAAACAAATAATCATAATAATAAATTCCCACTTCTTCATTCATAATCTCTTCCTCCTACTTCTGCGGCTGCGGTTCCTTTTCACCCGTCTCAGAACTCTTACGTGGCTTTGGACAAAACCTTGCCATATGTCCACTCTCCAAACAATTATAACAATTTCCCCAAAATTTATATGGTTCCTGTCCCGTTTTTGTTGGCCCTACTGATTTGATTTGTCCAGCACCTTCAATTCTTTGTCGTTTCCATTTCTGCTCATTTTGTTCGTCTCTTGAACCCCATTGGCCACGTTGGAACTGATCATTCTTACTTCCTTGAGCTTCTTGGAAAGTACCCTTTCCTTTTCCTTTCTTTTCTGACTGTTGCTCCTTTTTCTTTTGAAAAATATTGTTGTTATTTTCTTCAATTGCCATGGCACATTCCACAACCTTTGCATAAGTGTCACACCTATGCCCAACTACCAATCTTTTAACATGGGAGATCAAACCCCACTCAAACTTTCGAATCCTATGTTCCTCATTAGCCACTATGTGAGGAGCAAACCGAGAGAGTTCCGTGAACTTTGTCTCATAGTCACTAACCGTCATTGTGTTGCTCTGTTCTAATTCCATGAATTCAATTCCCTTCTTTTCTCTCACGGACCGCGGAAAATGTTTTTCATAGAACCGTGTCTTAAATTCTTCCCAAGTCATAGCGGCTATGTCCACAGTAGTCCTAGTCACGGTCTGCCACCACTGGCGCGCCTCACCCGACAAGAAAAATGCAACTATCATCCTTTTCTGCACTTCAGTGCAGTCCATCATCTCAAATTACTTTTCCATGTCATCGATCCATTTTTCGGCATCAAGTGGATCGGCAGCTCTAACGAACTCAATAGCTCCTAATTTACGTATGTCCCTTATGTATGTAGTCATGGGAACTTGTTCCGCATTAG